TCCAGGCCATCATTCTTCTCTGACTGTAATACCTGCATTAGGTTACTCATCAGAGCTCAGCAGGCTGGGAAGGCTGAGCAACAGACTCTACCTCACAGTACTGAAGGCTAGTTGTCACGGATAACATGCCAAGAGGGTTGGTGGCTTTTTCCCCACTGTGGTAACTCTTCTTGGATGGCCATGTTTCCCACATATTTTGACCAAAAAAAAATCCTCAAAGAGAATATGAGATATTTGAGCCAAGATGAGTTGTTTCTAGGAACATGGATTTAAGTTGCCCCCAAAAAAATGTAGAAAGGGTTTCATTAAGTTTACTTTGTTATGGAATAGAATGAAGACATAAATCGAGGCATTTGTAAATGCTTTGGTGGGAGCTCAGATGGGATAGCTTACGGCAGGGCAGTTTCTGTCTGATGTTCTTAATGTTCTTAATTCTCAGATTCCAGAAGGTTTCTCCTGCCGGTAGCTAGAGTGTTAGGTAAGACATGAGTGGGCAGGAGAACAAAAGGAAAGGTCCAAGATTGGACTCTGGATGTGCAGCATTCCAGCTCTTTACTGTTGTGATAATTTGATTACATTCTGACAATAAAGTTTGTTTTGAATCAGAGCGGAACTAGCCACTAGCCAACCAAAATTAACCATTGAGGTTTTGGAGGACTGAGGAAGTAGTAAGGCGGGACTTAGAGAGGATCTCAGCTCGTTTTGAGGAAGGAACAGAAGAGGTAGGAAGTCACTGGTGGCTTATCCGCAGCTTCTCTGATCAGTTTCTTACCCCAATATCTGACTCCTGATTGTTTATTGATAAAAATTAGATAATCACTTCACTTTAGAGTCCAGAAGTTCTGATCATTCCATCAGCATTTTAGGACTTTTAAAGTGGGAGTAGCCTCTTTTTCTGGGACTTCTCATGGTCTTTATTCTAGATGTATCTATGTTACAATTTCTCTTATAAGTGCACCAGGGTTTGTTTGCTTGCTTTGTTGTTTTTATGTTTTTGTTGTTGTTTGGTTTTTGTTTTCTAGGTTTGACCCTGTCTCCAAATACATCACTAAGAGTACTGAGCATCAATCACAACATCCACACATCCAAATATAAATTTAGACTGGGGCCAATGTGGCCCATAGGCATCCCTGTGAAGGAAGCTTACTTAGTATATATTTTCAGAGGCAGAGCTACCCTTTGGTCCCTTTGGTTCATCTTACAGGTTTTGTACAGACCTTCCAGGCTGAGGCATTTGGCCTTTGTCCCCATGAATCTGGGTCTCCTGGGTTCTGTGGACTCCTGCAAGACAACACACACACAGAGAGAGAGAGAGAGAGAGAGAGAGAGAGAGAGAGCCCGGCTGGCTCAGTGGTGAAGGCTTTAGTCAGCAACACCTGCTATATTTGTTGGTGATAACCAGAGCTGCAGGACTGAAATCCCAGATGACAGACAGTACCAGATCCCTCCTGGCTAGCTTTCCTCATCTTGAGCTTGACGTATTCAAAAGCCACCCATCTCCTGTCATGAGCTCCTCTGTCTTTGGCGTTTGAGAGTGCATCTGGGGACATCTGTGAGGCAGGGTGTCCAGGGCTCAGAAGGATGGCTCCTGAGACCAAGTGGAGTAGGTGAAGTCCGTGGCTTTTAGGTACCAGAGAAAGTGCACAGGGAGGAAATAGCAGGCACCTTCCTGACCTTGAGACAGATTGGGTAGCTAACATCTCCTGTTTCAGGGGCTGGGAAAGTAAGGCGCAGCATAGCAGGCATCTTTAGTGCTGAAAGCAGGCATTCTTTATGAGGAGGCTGTGGTGGAGAACTGGGGAGAATGATGAGCAGTTAGATGTATCCCTGTTTCAGAATCTTATTTTTTGTAGTGAAGACTTCCGGGGTGTAACAAGCTGACCAAGCAGTTCTAACTCAGCCCTTGAACCCATTTATTTATTTATTTATTTATTTATTTATTTATTTATAGGCATTCTAGAGTTGCCTGGACTTGGGCCCTGGGGTCTTACTGCTTCCTGAATATGAGTGGAGCTGTCAACCAGCTCCTTAGATATGTGGTTCTCAACCTGTGGGTCATGACCCTGTGGGTTGCATATCAGATATTTACATTATGATTCATAACAGTAGCAAAACTACAGTTAGGAAGTAGCAATGGAAACAGTTTTATGGTTGGGGTCATGAGGGTTAAGAACCACTGCTCTAGATGTTCACCTGGCTATCGAGGCTGTGTACAGAGTGTTCTGTAGTGTGCTCTGTCGCCTTGGGCAAAAGCTTGACCTGACCAAAGAAACCAGTTTCTTTATATCCTAGAGATAGTGACTTTCTAGTAGACTGAGCTTCTGGTAGACCCTAGAGGGTACTGGGAGTTGGCACATGGTGTTTCTCTTTCATCATTTGTGCAGTGGGGCTAACACCATAGGTAGGCCCTGACTAAGAGAGTGGCTGTGGAATTAGGTAAGAGGAGGCTTGTGAAACCACTCAGCGCCGAGCTGACCTGTGCTTGGGAGCTTTCTCAAGCTGTACTTTGCTTGTACAACCAGCAGGTGGTGACATTGGCCACATACTGGCACTGCGGGCCTCCATCCTCAAGGTTCCGTTCGTTCGTACCCTGGTGTAGTGGTGGTATTCAATTGCAAATACTTTGGTTCCCTGTCAGGTGTAGGTTTCCGTTAATAATGTCAGCCAGATGAATGACAGGACGGGCTTGTCTGTAGACTGCTGTAGCTTTCTGGTCGGTTTGCTGCCTTTGCTGCCGTTCAATTACTGCCGCTCCTTGCTGAGGGTTGAGTTGCCAACTTCCTGAGGCAGGGCCATCCCGCAGCCAGGAGGGTTTGGACTGGAGTTCAAGCTGGGAACTAAGGGAGTGTGAGTTTCAGGAACTACCCTGTTCCAATTGCTGCTCTCATGCTCTACTGGCCTGTCTGCATTCTGAGGGTGACTACAAAACAAAAGGATGCTTTTTCATTCGAGCCTGAAAGTTCAGGGTTGACTCAGAATCTGAGATGCTGTGGCTGGGGAAGCATCCTGAAATGACAGAGCAAAGTGGTCATAAGTAAAAGGTCTGAAGTTTTTTTATTCGGTTTTTGTTTTTGTTTTTTTGGGGGGGCGGGGGGGGGTTGTTTGTTTCATGTTGTGTGGCTCAGGCTGGCCAAAACCTCCCCATAAAACTGAAGATGACCTTGAACTTTTGATCCTCATGCCTTCTAGCCTTCTTTGTGCATCAAGTAGCTAAATTCCTGAAGAGTCAGTTGATGGTCATTTTATATGCTGATCTTTTATCAGTCTTTTAGCCCAGATATATAAAGTGCACCAGCAGAAGTGCTAGGGTTTTGCAAGGCAGAATGATTTGTGTATATGTATTTGTTGAACTGAAGAGTTTAAGTAACTTAAGTGTTTGGAACAAATAAATGCTGTTGGTTTGAAATGCCAATGTGTTGGTTAGTTCTTGCCTATAGTGTTGATATAAAAATATAAAACCTGTTGTAATTTCAGTAATGTACCACAAGGTGGCACCAACGTCAGCTGTCTTAGCCACCAGGAAGTGTGTGAGTCATCCATTCTTGCGGCAAAACTCCCACAAATTCTGTTTTGAACTTTATTCTCTGGAGTCAGGATATTTGATCCAGTGATAATATGTTTGCAGATTTTCATTTTAAAAAGTGCTGAAATTGTTTTCTATGAGGTTTCTCCCCAAAGCCCCATGTCAAAGCTGTATATTGATCTGTTTAAATCCTGTTTACTGTATTTTTCCACAGGAAAAATTTCCTCATGATAATGTTGCTTAATTTAAAAAATATTTATTGTGTATGCAGTGTTGTGCCTGCATGCCAGAAGGGGCACCAGATCTCATTACGTATGGTATGGTGGTTGCTGGGAATTGAACTCAGGACCTCTGGAAGAGCCAGTGCTCTTAACCCCTGAGCTATCGCTCCAGCCCCATGTTGCTTAATTTTTAATGCTAGGACTTTAATATTTGTCTTTGTATTTGTTCTTGTTTATTTCCTAGACTTCAAATTAGATCAACTCAGTTTTTCGAGATTTATTTTTTTATGTGCATTGGTGTTTTGCCTGCATGTGCGTCTGTATACCACATATGTACAATTGTCCTCCGAAGCCAAAAGAAGTTGTCTCCTGGAACTGGAGTTACAGACAGTTGTGAGCCACCATGTGATTTCTGGGAGTCCTCTTAAATGCTGAGCCATCCTCTGCAACCCTAGATCAACTCTTCAAGAATTAAGTTTCTTTCTCTACTTTTTCCAAGACCATGAATTTCTAGATAATCTTAGGAGACTGAAATAAAATTCTTGAACTTAAAAATTAAAACTACTTTTGAATCGCTTATTTTTATAAACATTTGGATTATGTAATATATGAACTACTGTCTACTCTATGTGTGTACATTGCTTGTTTTTATGGTTATTTGAATTATGTTGTATATGAAAGCCTGTCTACTGTATATGTGTACATACAAATAGCAATTTGATTTAGTAAGTACATACATAAACAAGCAAGGGCTTGTTATGTCCCTCATCTTTTACCTGCATTCCCTTCTTGTAACATATTGTAGTAAGAAGAAACCATTACTTAGTAAATAGGCCTTATTTTTTGTGTCAGGCTTTTTTTTACGCCATAGTAAATGTGGTAGAGAAACAACCTTGGTCAGAAAGATCTTTCTGCAACCACATTTGGGCTCAATTTCTAAGCTAAAAGTAATTGTATTAGTAATTCAGTTGGAGTAAATGTGATGCAGTCCAGAACAGTGGCCTGTGTTTGGCTCTTTCTAGAATGTAGAAGACCATCGATTTTGTTGTTTTGCTTGAGGTTTTTTTGTTTTAGTTCTTTATTTCTTTTTAATAGAAGGCTTTTAAATGTTTACTGTTCATCAGTCATTTTCAGAATCGTTTTCTTTTGGGGTTTGGTAGGAATGGGAAAGAGCCTATGAATATGGATAAATGTGTTTTCTTAAAATGAAGCATGACCGTGTATGACAACCTTCTTTCTTCTCTTTTCTCCCTTAGATTGGAATAATTGGTGGAACAGGCTTGGATGATCCAGAAATTTTAGAAGGAAGAACTGAGAAATATGTGGATACTCCATTTGGCAAGGTTAATGTCCAGCTGATACTGTTGGCTTTGGCATTGCTTATTACTGGCAAGAATTTTTTTTTTTTTTTTTTTTTTTTAAGTCAAGAACAGCGGTTGGTTTTGTGTGGACAGCCTAAAGCCTGATGCAGGCAGAAGGCCCACAGTGCTGCCACTGGGTTTCATGGGTTGAGTTGTCCTTAAGGGTGCATGAAGCTGCTGTTTCGATGGCATGGCTTTCAAATACGAAAGTGGCATCTCGGTTTGCATTCCTAGAAGTCAAGATGCTCGTTTTAAATTCAAAACTGTTTCTAATTTAAAGCCCAGTTCACAGCACGCTAACTTAGCAGACAGGCTGTTGGCTATAGATAGATAGTAGTTATGAGTTGGCATCTTCTGGTCCAGATGAGTCCTGAGATCAGGAATACAATGTTAGGGTTAGGAAGAAGGGGATTCTAGGAAAGGCTGCTTATTTTCCAGGCCAGGCTGGGTGAGCTATTCCACATTGCCTCTTCCAAACACTGGTATTCCTCCCTCTGAGGAGAGGTTGCATCCCCGCCTGGCCCTCCTTTTCACCTAAGTTCTTAGCCTGACCTGGGGTTTTCCAAGTCCTTTCCCATCTTGCCCTTAGCCTCAGGCTTTCTTAGTTAGTTCTCAGGTTTTTTCCCTTTGTCACTTCAGCTCATCCCCTGGCCGTCTTAAGCCTGGTTGCCACAAGCAGGGGGAGTCCATCGCTGAGTTCTTGGTGCTCCACACTGATCTCCTAATCTTTCAGCTTTTGATTCACAACATTTCTTGTACCTTTCAAATGTCCTTGACACATGTAAATTTGATTAGTCTGCCATCAGAGTATCTTGGGACACTTGTACAAAGCCCCATCGATGCCCCTTTCATAGCCTATGGAGTCCTTGCCAGCAGAGAGCTAGGTCAGTACTTATGGGTGATAATGTTGATTAGTAAAACCTAAACTCCTTTCCCTAATGTATATCTTCAAACTCTAGATTTCTACCAGTTTGTTGTGGTTTAATGATTCAGATTTTTAAGAACAGTTTATACATGTTTGAAAACTGCTAAGCTGTGACTGTTTACTTTTTATTGCATGCAGCCATCTGACGCCTTAATTTTGGGGAAGATAAAAAACGTTGATTGTGTGCTTCTTGCAAGGTAAAGTATTTTTAAGTTTTTTGTTGTTGTTTAATATTACTACTTCAGGAGAATTTAAAGTTAACTTAAAGCCCAGAAATAGGTATTAATGTAGCTATGAGATAAGTGTCCGTATACCTATACCGGTTCCTTTATTTACTACACATGGCTCTGAGATGAGCTCGGATTATAGGTATTTAGGGAATAAAAATCTCTTTCCTCGATTTGGTTTGGAAAATATCGGTTGAGTGACAACTGAAGCTCCAGTTTCTGTCCTAACTACAAAACAAAAATATTTCCTTTGTTAACTTTCTTTCTTCCAGTAATCAGATAAATCAGATGCTCTGTTTGTGTTGAGTCCTTGTCTAGTAGCAGTTGGAGTTGTGGGGGAGGAGGTGTCAGTCCCTTAACTAGCCTGGATCACTTCTTGTACGTGCTCATACCCTTGTTCCCTAAACAGGCCTCGTGGTATGAGCTGCTGCACAGAGAGCAGCATATTTCAAAAGTCCCCTGACCACAAGCGGCCTCCACTGCAGTTAATGCAATGGCAAGCAGGTTCTCATGCCAACAAGGTGGCACCTAGTCACAGGAGTGACTTCTAGAGGCTTCTAGTGTTGGGGAACAAGTTTCAGGCTGACCCAATGTATGGGCTATATAGGACATGAAAGGGAGACCTAACAAAGCTTTGTCTACCATAGTGACATGGAAAGTAGGTTCTCAGGAGCCAGCAAAACTAAAATGTAGTTTTAAGCTGTCCCCTGCTGTGGATTTCTTACAACTCTCCTTCCTTGTGCTATAGTCGTTGCTGGAGAAATGCCTGATTTTTTTTTCCCCCAAACTCAGGAAAGAAACAGTTGTTTAAATTAGACAGGTGTTTAATTTCTTCTGGAAAACCTGCTGAGCACTTTGGAGGTCAGCCCCAGGAAGATATATGTATCTCTGGATAGTGAGGGCTCCTACTTTTTTAGAGGCAGTCTGTGAAGTCAGGGTGGAAACCTTAGTGTCTGTCCATAGTTTGTTAGTTATCAAGAAAAGACATCAAAAATTAAATGCAAACAGGATGATAGTGAGTTTTTATCCCTGATGGGAAAAAAAGTCCTGGCTCCGAGTGGGTTGGGTGACTTTGGGGGAGGCCACAGGGGGAAGTGAACGAGTTATTCTTTTTTTTTTTTTTTTTTTTGGTTTTTCGAGACAGGGTTTCTCTGTGTAGCTTTGGAGCGTATCTTGGCACTGGCTCTGGAGACCAAGCTGGCCTCAAACTCACAGAGATCCACCTGCCTCTGCTTCCCAAGTGCTGGGATTAAAGGCATGAGCCACCAATGCCTGGTGTGAACAAGTTATTCTTAAAGGCTTTTTTGTCCGTACCATATTCCATTTGGTGTCCCCACGGCTTGTTCCCCATTTGTGATCTGTTACCAGCATGCCATTTTCAGTGTAAAAGCTGTGGCCTTTTGAACCTGTGGTTTAAGTTTCCATGCTTCTAGAAAGCTATGCTTTCTTTTCTGGCTGTTTACTACTTCCTGGGAAAAGTAGTAGCTCTCCGTAGCATTACCAAATGTCAGTGGAACCAATTTTTTTTTTTACATTAAAAACTGACATCATATTGAACAATACATTGGGAAATCCATCAAAGTACATTTTTCTTTCAAAAACAAGCCAACAAAGGAAGAACCCTATCTCCAAGTACAGCTACAGCCTGTGATCCAAGATGGGGTTAGATGCACAGTTCAAGAATTTTGATTCAGGGTTTGGCCATAGTGGTGCATTCCTTTAGTTCCAGCACTCAGGAGGCAGAGGCGGGCAGAGCTGTTGAGTTCGAGGCCAGCCTGGTCTACAGAAGGAGTTCCAGGACAGCCAAGGCTACATAGAGATAGAGAAACCTTGTCTCCAAAAAACAAAAAAAGAACTTTGATTCAGTTAAGTCTGCAACCGTAGTCATGAAAGAGCTGGTCTGTCATACAAAGCCAGCTCATAGATTGAACAGTTTCATAGTTTACCCAGTTGGTCTGAAGGGGTGGACAGGGTCTCAGTTTCCTTATAACTGTTAAAAGGACCTGCCCTGATGACTGATGTACTATGGTGATCTCCTTCCTTAGACATGGGAGACAGCATACCATCATGCCTTCAAAAGTCAACTACCAGGCAAACATCTGGGCTCTGAAGGAAGAAGGTTGTACACATGTCCTAGTGACCACAGCATGCGGGTCCTTGAGAGAGGAGATCCAGCCTGGTGACATGGTCATCATCGATCAGTTCATTGACAGGTAAGGGGTAAGTGGCCTTGTAGCTCACCTTCAGCTCTGAAGGAAACATGGGGAAGGGAGCAGAGCAGGACATAGGATCACTATAAGCTTTCCTTTGTTGGGGTTTTATATTTTTAACTGAACTGACAAATAGTAATTATGCATTGATGAACATAATTGATTATATGTGGGCATTGCATAGTTACTTATATATATTTTTTTCACTTCGAATACACGCCTCACTAATCAGTTTGCACTGCAAGCAATGATTTTCTGTAAGTAATTGATACACCACATGGCCGTGCCATATAGGAGATCTCAAAACTTAGTCTTTTTGCTTAACTGAAATTTGATATGCTTTGGCCGACTGTCTCCCAAGGTTCTGGTAAACACCAGTTTATTCTCTGCTTCTGAGTCTGTGTTTTAGATTGCTCATTGCTCATTGTCTTTCAATGTCTTGCTTATTTCGCCTCACAAAATCCCTCCAGGTTTACTCATTTCGCTGCAAATGACCATTGTCTTTTTCATGGTTGACTGATGTCAGTATATCACATTCTCTAATCTGTAGATAGGCATCAGGGTTGATTCTATGACTTGGCTATCATCAGTGATAAAGCTGGGTGTGCAAGGGTCTCTAATATGCTGACTTAGATACTTCAGGTGTACACCCAAGGATGGGTAGATCTTGTGGTTGTCACTTTCTGAGGAACCCCAGGTTGATTTTCTTATTGGCTGGACTAATTTACATTCCCAGCAGCAAACAGCCATTGAGGGCTTGTTGTCTTCCTTCTGCATCTCTGCCAGCCTTATTGTCTGTTTCTTGATGAGAGCCATTCTGACTAAGGTAAGATGGAATCTCACTATGCTTTTGATTGACCTTTCTCTAAAGGCTAAAGATGTCGAACTTGTGTTTATTAGTTGTTTCTACTTCGGAATAGTGTCCATGCTGTTCGCTTCCTCGTTTATTGATTGGATTGTTTATTATTTTCATTTTTTTAGTTCTTCATATTTTAATTTTTAATCCCTTGCCAGATGAATATAGGGATGGCTTCACCTGAGGGACTCTGCTAGCCTCTCCCCAGTGCTTCGGTCCTCAAAGCCAGAATCATTCTATTGTCTCTTCCTATGTTACTTGTGACTCTTATTCCCTCCATTTCCTAAGCTGATCACTGTTAGATACTATTACAGATCTCTTTGTCTGGGTAGAAGAAATGTAATACAGTCATGTCATTCAAGAGTTGGAGAGGCCCAGGGATGGGGACTTGCAGCCATTTCTACATGTATCCTTCCCTGTGCCATCAACTTCAGTGACTCAGAATACCAGAAGAATGCCAATGAGAAAGAAAATGAGGTTTCTTTTTTGTTTTGTTTTTGTTTTTAATACTTGCCTTTATCAGGAATGTTTTACAGTTTAGGGTTTTGTTTTGTTTTGCAGTGGAAAAAAAATAATGCAGCCCAAAACCCCAAAGATCAAAGAAAATAAAGCATGATTTGTAGTACCACAATGTTTCTTTGAAGTGTGGTTAGCTTGTTGGCCAATAGGACCTCTGGACCCTGATTAGGTACTGCTTAAAGAATGCAAAGAGCGACCCAGTGAGCAGTGAAGATGCCCAGCCTTTTGCTGGCCCTTCCTTTGGATGCCTTTGTCCTTAAGTATTCTTGTCTGCTCACAAGTTCTAAGGGTGTTGAGTTCTGCTTTTTTCTTTCTTTACTTTTTTTTTTTTTTTTCCCCAGCTTATCCTCTTTCAGGAAGAATAGGAGAGGCCTGGTTTGCCATTGCATTCTGACTCATCAGGAAAGTCCCTGCAGTAGACACATAGGCTGACAGATTATGCCTGTTCATTTCTCCCTCCCAAAGATACAGCCCTGCCTTGGGCTTCCCCCATGAAGTCATAGGTTAAGACTGTGGTCCTGTGGGGATATGCTCTGGTGCCTACTCCTGGTCAGGCCTTTTTGCATCGTAGTTAGGGTCTATGATTAGAAACAGAAACTCCTGAGCTGAGCATTTGGGCTTGCATGTGTGACCTCAACCCTCCAGAAGCCATGGCTGGAAGATTATGAGTTTGAGAACAATCTGGATACCTGGATTACATAGTGAGGCAGACCTTGTCTGAAACAAAAAAGGAAGGGGTGAAGGTGCATGATGCAGAGTTTCTCAGGGAGCCTTGGCATTGCTCTACCCCGTTCCTTCCAGAGGCAAGTGCAGATGGGACCAACCTGTTCCTGTAGCTTCTTGTGTGTCTTCCTCACTCTGTGCTGAGAGTGTCACCTTCAGTATAAGGAAGCAGATACACCCACTACCTGTCTCTACATTCCCTTTCATCTGTAATGTGTTTTGAGTTCTCCTTTATCTGGATGTGCTTAAAGTGGGGTCAGCAGCCCCCTAGAAGCAGTTTGTCTTTGTATCCTGATCTGGAACCTAGTTTAGGTCTAGACCGTCACAGTAAAAACAGCTGTCGAGTTGGGTGCTGTGCTCAGTTAATTGCATGCACGCAGTGATCCTTCACCAAGTTATGCTTGAGGGAACCTAGGTAAAAGAGATGCTGTTACATGCTAGCAAGTGAGCCCTGGGGGATTTGAATTCAGGTGACTCAAGCCTGTTACCTCAGCTGTCCCTCATCCACATGCTTCCAGTTCTGCCCGCCCACTGAGATACCTCAGATTTTGAAATTTTCTCCTGACCCTTTGCTCATTCATAACACTGCTGGTGCTGTCCTCAATGATCTATTGAGGGACCCTCTGTCGCTTTTGTGTTATTGAGTCTCTACATCACAGCTGCTTTTCATACATCTTTTTGTTTAAGTGTGACATAAACCAAGAAGCAGCCACAAGAGTCCCTGGGGATCTCCTCTGGTCATTGAGCAGCGGTAGCTTAACCAGGGGAAATGTTGTTCTGGTTAGCTGTCTTCATAGACCTCTGCCCTTCTTGCCATTTGATGTGACTTGTCCCAACTTGTGGGTCTGTGCTTCATGATCTCTTGCACTTTTGAAGGAATGGTTTCTTCTGTAAGTTTATATGTAGAGAGCCCGGAACCTCTGCTTGTTTCCCTCTTTTCAGAGTATGATGTGATCACATCTGGTCTTCTGAACAGTCAAGTTACCTGTGAGTAATTCCATAGCAAAGAAAGTGTCACATCCTGCTCAGAGGACTGGAGTTACTTAAATATAATCATTGCTGTTAGAAATGGACCTTTTAAAAGGACGTTTAAAATGCCAAAGCTTTTCCAGCCAGCTTCTCCCCACTCTTACAGTTTGCAGTTCTAAACATAACATGGAGTAGTACTTTTTTTTCTGCATAGTCTACCTATGTATGGCTATTGTTTTTGGGTAAACAGCCTGGGGCAGTAATCATACAACCTGATAAAATCCCTACATTGACCTGGACCAAGTTTGGGATATTTAGGAAACAATAACAGTATCAGCAAATACATTCCTCTTTCCTTATTGTCCCCCTTAGGGATGTGTAGACATCACTGTCTCTGTTAGAGCCTTGGGCAAAATCCTCATTGCTGTGGTCTGGTCTTAATGTGACTCTCAGACTTTGTGTTGAAATCCTAACCCTTAAGGATAGTAGATTTCTTTTGCCACACCTAGCAGAATTAAGATTTTGGATTTGTGTATATTTTGGGGTTTGTTTGTTTGTTTGTTTTTAAAGTTTTGGGTGTTTTTGGTGTTTTGTTTGTTTGTTTTTGTTTTTTATGTGTACAGATGTTTTGCCTGTATGTACGTGTGTGCACCACATGCATGTCTGGTGCCCTCAGTGGTCTGAAGGAGTTGGATCTCCTGGAACTAGAGTTGTAGATGGTTGCAAGCTTCCATGTGTTCTTAACTGCTGAGCCATTTCTCCAGCTCCCAAAGTTAGAAGTTTTGTTCTTATAATGTTGCTTAGTCTACTGTGAGCAAGATCTCCTAAGATACAGAGGGAATGAAGACGAATGATGAAGCCCCTTTATTGAAGAATGTAATCACTGAGGTATTAGCATCCATTGGATGATTCTTTTCTCCTTTTTTTTTCTTTTTGTTCTTGTTTTTGCTGTTGTTAATACTATAATCAATTAGGAGTGCTCCTGAAATTGGAGTGTTTTATAATCCTAATGAGCTGGGAGAATCCCTTCCCCAGAATGCATCCTTGTGAGCAAATCGGCAAGTTAACTGACTCATTCATGTTCACTCCTGCTGGGGCTTGCTAGGCACAGATGCTACTTTCGGAAACCACCTCAGAAGCATTTGTTTCCTAGAGAATAGTGTTTTTCTTCAGTGCTTTTTTTTTTTTTTTTTTTTTTTTTTTTTTTTTTTTTTTTTTTACCCCTCAAGACAGGGTTTCTCTTTGTTTCTCAGCCTTGGCTATGCTGAAACTTACGCTGTAGCCCAGGCTGGCCTCCAACTCACAGAAATCCACCTACCTCTACTTCACAAGTGCTGGGACTGAGGGCATACCACCATCGCCTGGCTCTCCGTGCATTTTTAACTCCACATTTCTTTAAGGGGGAGTATTATCTAACAAATGTGCCTCAAGCTAATTCAAGGGTCTCTACTTAAGAAACAGCCTAGTGGTCAGTTTTTCTCTGTTTTTTTTCTCCTCTGTCTGATACAGTACCTTGAATTCATATCTCTTGGCAGTGCAAGCTTGTTTGTCTCCTTAACTCTTAAAAAGACATGCTTTATTTGGGTATTTTTTGATGGTTGTTGTGGGTTTTTTGTTTAGTTTAGGGGCTTTTTTGTTTGGGTTTGTTTGTTTGTTTGTTTGTTTGTTTGGGGAGGTGCTTTTTACACCTGTGCTGGCTAGTTTAGTTGTAACTGTCAACTTAACACAACCATCTGGGAAGAGAGTCTTACTTAATGTCTTATCAAAGTTAGGTTGTCCTGTCTTGATTGTTAATGTATGTGGGGAAAGCTAGTCCACTGTGGGCAGCACCATTCCCTACGCAAGGGTCCTGAATAATGTGAGAGGGGAAAGCTGCCCGAGAGCAAGCAAGTAGGCATGCATTCTTTCTCTGCATTATTATGTGGCTGTAATATGACCAGCTTTCTCAAGCCTCTGTCACTCTGACTTCCCCACAGTGGTGTATAGCCTGGAACTATGAGCAAAAACCCCTTCTCTCCTAAGTTGCTTTTTGTCACCAACAGTAACAGAGCTAAAATAGTATCTACCCCAGCTTGGCAGCCTCAAGCAGTTTCAGAGGTTCCCTTGAAGCCCGAAAAATGCCAAACTCCCAAGTTGACAAAAGAGGGTACAGAAGCAGATGTTCCATGTGTAGCAGTGGCCAGTGTCAGCCCCTGTGTTATATTAGCTCATTCCACCCTCACATAGCCCATTTAGGATAAATGACTTTGCCCCTCCCCCCTTTTAAATATAGGAAGATCTAAGGTACAGAAATCAGAGTGGCTTTTCCAGAAGCAAACAGCCAGTGAGTAGTAAAGCCAACCAGGTGGTCACTCCCTGAAATCCTTGTTTAATCAGGAGGCAAAACTAATCTCTTTGATAGAGGGAGCAGACCTTCTACAGTAGTTGTGTACTGCAATAGAAGCTGTAACTAGGTTGATCATGTATCAAACTACAGAAATGAATATATCAGTTTTCTATTGCTGCCATAACAAATAAATTACGAACTTGGGTGCTTACCACAGATTTATCATCTTGTTATTATTTGGTTAGTAGTTTAACATGGGTCTCACTGGCCCTTTAAAAAGAAATAAAAGCTGTTGGCAAGGCCTTATTACTCCACTTAAGGTGGAGCCCATTTCCTGACCCGTTGTTCAATATACTCTTTGGCTTATGGCCCACATCCATCCAGTGCCAGCAATGATGGATGAAGTTCTTATCTCTGTCATCTACACATCTGCTGCCGTCTTGCACATATAAGAACTCCTGATGATCACACTGTTCCCGCATAATTAATCCACAATAATCTTTCTGTTTAGAAGTCAGCTTCATACTAACCATCTGCTAACTTTGTTGCCCTTTGCCATGTAAGATGAAATAATCATAGCATCCTGAGGATAAGTGTGTGGACCTCTGGTGGGGTAGGCATTACCCAAATGTAACTAACATTGTGATATGATTGCATCTGAGTGTATTGAGGGGTAGCCACTGAAGTTTTTGGTGCTGTTTCCGTCCTTAAGCAAGGGTGCAAGTATTTTTAGTCTACTACAGCTGCTATAACAAAATGCTGTAGACTAATTAGCTTCTAAACAGAAATTTCTCAGTTGGAAGGCTGAGAAGATCAGGAAAGGGGTAAAAAGATCTGGTGTCTGAGAAGAGCTTACTTTCTTGGCATCTTCTTGCCATGTCCTTGTGTAGTTTAAAAAAAAAAAAAAGGAGGGGGTAACTAATTAGTTCCCTGGATCCTCTTTTGTAAGGACCCTAGTCATGCTGTGCCTGTTCCTCATGACATGGTCTTAGGATGATAGAATGACCGTAAGGGGTAGGATTTCAACATAGAAATCTGCAGGTTGTACTAACCTTATATGTAGCTGTGAGGATTTTCCTTTAGGTTTGTTAAAGAGTTTATACAAGACATATTTAGTTTAAAAAAAAACCACAGGATAAAATACATCTCCTGCCCATGTCACTCAGCCAATGATTGAGCTACACAATTCAACTATAATTGTGCATCTAGGCAAGCTGGTTTGGTTGGAAATGGGAAGTGGCCTTTCAGCTTTTGTTAGCAGCCTCTCCTCTGAGGTGTGTCTTGAAGGCTTTTCCAGGCTTTGACTGAGTTCTAGAGTATCCAGTTTCTCTGACAGGTTCTCAGACGAAGTCAAGTGTTCCACAGATGACACACATTTTCCTTTGAGGGTGCCCTGCACAATTCTCAGCTGTGGTTGTAAACCCCTTGCTCTGTCAGAATTCAGTTAGTGTAAACAACTGTATTTCATAGTGATTTAGATTTTGATCATTAACCATTTCACTGAACATGGTGACATGAGTTAGTGGTGCAGATGCCACAGACAGGTGTATCTTCATGGGTGAGTAAAGCATCGATTTTAATACTACTTTTCCTCTCTTCTGTGGAGTCCCCTGCAGGGTCTAGTTCTCTGTGGCCTCAGCCTGCAGATGACTCTCAGATGTCTCTACTATGAGTTACCAGGGCATCTTGATTGACTTATTTCTCCTAATGCCTTTATAAATGAAGAGATGAGCACTCTGGGTTTGGTGTTGTTGTTTGTATGCTTATTGGGTTTGGTTTGGTGTTATTTGTTTTTTGAGACAGAGTCTCACTAGGTAGCCTGGCTTTCCTAAACCTCCTAGCAGAGATCCACCTGCCTCTGCTTCCTGAGTGCAAGAATCAAAGGCATATGACATCAGCCCTAGTGAACACTGTGTTTTATTAGAAAATGGGAGAATCAAAAATATACAGAATTAGCTATAACTATGTAACTTGTCATTAGATACCTTCACGTTTAGTAAGAAAAATGTAGTGTTCCATTTGAAATCGGTAATTAAGACCAGTCAACCAGTGTCGAACAACATAGCATGATGTGGTGCATGTTCTTCCGTGTGTTTGCCACAAGGCAGAGATGTGGGGAGATAGAGAAGCCGTGGACATGTTGAAGAGATAGGTGTTCCTTCATGGGCATCTGTTGCCCATAGCTACTGGAGGTTTTGCGTCTCTGCTTTATAATCCCAGTTGCAAGTGAGAGAGCATTGATACAACTTGACTCATTAGAGACTAAAACCAGGCAGATCTGGAGGTGACATGACATTGTTTTGTTGGTCAGTCTTCGAGGGGAAACCCTGCTGATGGAAGCTAGAGCTGTCCTTTGACCCATTCTTCAACTCAGCTGGATTTGCTGCAGGGTTAATTCTAACTTCTCCTTCCAGTACATGAGAAAGACTCAGGAATTGTAGATATGAGGTGTGCATCTTTCCACAGCAGTGGGGCTTCTTCATCTCCAAGAGGGGTGACTTTGATACCAGCTAGGGTCACTGACTGTGACGTAGCCCAAAGAATGGTTAATTTGGGGCAGTAGATAAAAAGCTGTGTAAACGGAACCAGCAAAGAAGAATTTCCATTATCCCTCCCCCATCTCCCTTCTGTAGGAAAGTTGGGGTGGTAATTTCTCTGAGTTACTCAGTATTTTGTATTTGTTTTCTGAAAGCTCCTAGGAGGAAGTTGAGTGAGCTGGCAGTAAATTCATTTTCACCTGTCTTCTGTGAATTCCAAAAAAAGATTATATAGCAGAACCCTTGAAAACACTTAAGATCTAGTTAAAGTGGGTAGAGAAGCAAGCCAAGCAAGGAGGCAGATTCCCTGTGGAGCAGGACCATCCAGCCGATTTCTTCAGTGGATCAAAGGCCTGGAAAAAAATGTGACTAGGGTTGAAGCAAGAATTATTTTTACTTTAGAGATATGACAGTCAAATGTGGGTAAGGACGTTGTATGGACTGAAACAAAGCAATTGTTCATAAAAAGTTTTTTTTTTTAAGATTTTTTAGGGAGATGAGTGTGGTTTGAGTCAATGCTTGCAGTTTACTTTTATACAGAAGCTAACAAATAAAATGAGTTGGAAACAGTTTGGGGAACTAGTGAGTCTAGGCGGCCGCACACTGCACGGTCTTCTGGGACATGATGAAATGTTTTCAGATTGACTTGGGGCTTTCCCCACCCTCCCTGAGGTTCCAGTAAGGTGTACTTGACCATCTGAAATGGGTACACTTTTGTGTCTGGTTAGGAGCGTGTTGGAACCAGCCCAGAGCTAGAAGAGTCCAATTCAAACCTGAAAATGCTCTGTGACAATTACCTTCGCTTATCTACAGCTGTTGGATGTGGGAGAACACACAGGACAGATGGTGCTGTAACAGAAGTCAAAACCTTACCACTTTGTCTTTCTAGGACATCCCTGAGGCCTCAGACCTTCTATGATGGAAGCCACTGCAGCGCCAGAGGGGTGTGCCATATCCCAATGGCTGAACCGTTTTGCCCCAAAACAAGAGAGGTTTGTATTCTGACTTATCAGAATAAAGTATAAGGTCTTGAGGTAACATCTGCAGGTGGATCAGTTGACTGAGTAGGTATCACTCTTCCTGCCTCAGCCTTAGTTTTGAAATGCATTGGTTTCACCGGGAGTTGTTTCCCATTGCCGATAAACCTCCATTCTCAGTTATATTAAACAGAAGCATTTTACCTACTGAGCCATCTCTTCAGCCTCAGAACTGTTTCTGATGAAACTTGAATCTTGACTTTTTGTTTTGTTTTGGTTTTTCGAGACAGGGCTTGGCTTCTCTGTGTAGCTTTGGAGCCTGTCCTGGCACTCATTCGTAGACCAGGCTGGCCTCGAACTCACAGAGATCCACCTGCCTCTGCCTTCCCCAGTGCCAGGATTAAAGGCGTGAACCACTACCTCCTACCTAGCACTTTAATGTTTCTTTAAAGAAAAGAAAAACTATGCATGAGTAGCCCTGAAGAAACAAGTAACAAATGCCCAGATAAGTTATCTTAGGACAGTCATTCTTATTCACCGTATGTCCTATAGTGACTTTCTACAAGGCCACTTTCCAAAAGGCCACAGCATCTGTGACTGATCAGCCCTGCACCTTGGAAAATGGCACTTGACCAGCAGTTTGGTCTGTGCGTGACAATACCTCAGCTGTGCAAGTGTGCTCGATCAGGACCTGTGACACAAGTCCAGATTGAAGCCCCGGCTTAACCTTGCTAAATTCTTAAAAAGTGAATGAAATTCAATTACACCAATCTCTCTAAAACCTATGAGCTGTGGACAGCAGGAATGTGTTAATACAGAGCTAGACACTAACTTTCAGTGATCTAGGTTTCCTTTAAGGACATTGTAGTAAAGTATGTTGTAGGTAGTTTGCTAAACATCATAGAGAAATGAAATCTTGTACTGCATGTAGGTTTGTGTGGTTTGAGACTGTTTCCTCCTTTTGCAGGTCCTCATAGAAACAGCCAAGAAGCTTGGTCTTCGATGCCATTCCAAGGGGACAATAGTCACAATTGAGGGGCCTCGTTTCAGCTCTCGGGCAGAAAGTTTTGTATTCCGTACTTGGGGTGCAGATGTTATCAATATGACTACAGTTCCAGAGGTGGTGCTTGCTAAGGAGGCTGGAATTTGCTATGCCAGCATTGCCATGGCAACCGATTATGATTGTTGGAAAGAGCACGAAGAAGCGGTAAGTGGAACTCTCCATTTCATGTGTGGTGTGGGCTTCAGAGTGTCATGATCTGTTAAGAGAATGTCTCATTGATTTTCTTTTGATTCATCTTCATTAGGCTTTATAAGCTATTTCCTGTAGTTCCTATTGGAAGATGAGATCTTTCATGAATGGTGGGGAAGTGCTTATCTGAGGATCAATAATGATTGACATTGTAGGCTTGTAGATGTGTTTAGAATCATTGAGACTTGGCCTTACTTTAAAGATACTTGGAGTGTGGTTCCTTGTGCTGTTTATTATGTTTATTTTCATGGAGAAAGACATCCTAGTAAGAAAACCCTGCGTCCCTATCCTGTTCAATGTACTGTGGCTGGATACTGTACTCAGCCCAAGAATGAAAAGACATGTCTCTAAGGAGCCAACATTCTGTTTGATGAAAATAGAGGTTATATTAGTCGGTGTTCTATTGCTGTGAAGAGACACCACCATAAAAAGAAAACATTTACTTGGGGGTTTGCTTACCGTTTCAGAGGTTTTGTTCATTGTCATCATGGTAGGAAGAATGGCAGCACACAAGCAGAGAGGATGTTGGCAGATAATGTGCTGATCCCCAGGCACAGGAAGAGATAGCCACTGGGCCTGGCTTGGGCTTCTGAAATCCCAAAGCCACCTTAGTGACACACTTCTTCTAACAAGGCCACACTTCCTAATCCCTCTGAAATTCCACTCCCTGATGACCAACCATTCAAATATATGAGTCTATGGGAGCCATTCTTACTCAGACCACCATAGAGGGTAAGCAAAAGTTATGAAGGAATACCGCTGGGTTTTATGAGTTGTCTAGAGCAAGTATTATTTGGAAGTGTGATGAGAAAGATTGGCAGAATTGAGAGACACACAGAGAGGGGAGAGGCGGGGAGAGGGCAAGACGAGATGTGGCAGAGCCATAGACTACGATAAGGATTGGAGACAGGTCAGTTGGGGGTACTAGGCAGGGAGGGACTACGGCAAGGCCTAACTAGGACTTGAAAATCCTAGAACACTGAAGTTGGGCCTGCCAAGATAGCATGTTCATCATGGAAAACTTGAACTTCTGTGAAGCAGTCACCTGGGTTCCACAGTTACCAACCATGGCCGCATAGACTTTACCTACCACCCCTCCCTCCCTCCCCACCCTCTTTTGAAGGTAAACATTTCATAAAAGTCCTCTTAATTCAAAAGCAAAAACGTAACCATACCACAATTTGTACAAAGAAATGATTTTTTTTTTAACTGAATCTCTAGACTATTGACAGTTTCTCTTTGATAACACAAGTTTTTAGCAGTTTGATGGAGAATCAATCCTAGGGCCTTGCATGTGCTAAAGTGTTCTATCGCTGAGCCATGTTCTTAATCTTCTATCTTATTTTGAGCCAGGGCTTCACTGAGTCTCTCATTCAGTCTTGAATTTGGCAGTCCCCCACCCTCCGCCTCCCAAATACCTAGGATTACAGGCTCAAGTCACCAGGCCCTGCCAGGCTCTTTTATACTAAGCTCCTCCCTTTTCTTAAAATTATTTTGTTTTACCTGAGAAACGAAAGATCATTTGCCTATTTGCCTGTCACTCATTTCATTTTAAAATGGAGAAGGTAAGGAAAAATCAGAGAGACTTTTAAAGAAGGGCAGAGGTGAGCACACCCTCTTCTAGAGGGCTGCTGTCGAAGAGCTCCAGTTTCTCCATCTAGTTAGACAAAACGGCTTCGCAAGGCCGTGTCATCTTGTTGGGCAACAACATAAATGAATCCCAATTCTTTAGTGTTGTCACTGTGTGTTTATAGGAGAATTGGCTCTGTCTGGCTTGGCAGTTTGGTGAGCTACTCCCAGCTTCAGGATGTGAAGAAGCTGCTTTCAATTAATGGGAACCGTTTAGCTCCCGTCACTTCCTGACAGCAAATTGCTTCCTGCTGGAAATGTTCTGCTCAGTCTCAAGCTAGATGCCTCCTCAAAGGTGGCTATTATACCAGATGGGGGCTGGAAAGCAGAGGGCTAAATTCTGCACATGGTTAGACATAAAGACAAGCTGTGCTGAGCGCCACAAGAAAGACACACATAGACATGGCATCCGCTCAAACAGCCATTGTGTCATTGTGCTTTAAACAGATGTGCAGCCTAACATGACAAGGTTTACCTCAGTTTTCTTGTGACTCTCAACAAGTAACTGAACTTGTTTTCTCTGAAATGAAGCCAGGACATGGTGGGGGGAGGGTTGATTGTGACCTTGGAGGATCACTGGGAAAATTGGTAACAAAGAATATCTGACAGAACTAGTTTGTGTGGCTGGGAAGGCTGCCCTAGCAGCTCCTAGGTCACACTCAGGAAGCAAAGAGAGCTAGACTGAGCAAGGAGGGGGCAGTACCTTTCCAAGGCCGTCATCCCAGTTACCTGCAAAAACCCATCAGGCCAAACCTCCCAAAGAAGTGGTCCTCAACCTGGGGATCGGACTGCCCTTTCTTTCACCAGGGTTGCCTAAGACCATCAAAAACCTCAAACACTTACATTGTGATACATAAAACAGTAGCAGAATTATAGCTGTGAAGTCACAGGGAAAATAGTTTTATGGTTGGGGACCACCACAACAGGCAGAACTGTATTCAAAGGGCCACGGCTTTAGGAAAGAGAGACAGCAACTGTTCACATTGAGGAAGAACAGGAATCAGAATGGTCAGAACTTGGGACCTGAGTATAACCTTCAGAAGCCCAACTATCCTACTTTTGTCAGCTACAACGTGCCTCTTAAAGAATCCACGGTCTCCAAAACATGAGCCCGTGCGTGGGAGGCATGCCAGTCAGACCATAACTGGTTTGGGAGTGCTGACTCACAGGAGTGTTATCACCAGCAACTCCATGGAGTGGGCGAGCAAAGAAAGTAACCTTGGAGGTTTTTGCACGCCTCTAAGTGAGGGTTAGCTGTTGCTGTGAGTCACAGGGTCAATAGGAAGGGCATTTTGAATGGAACCCAACAGCAGGAACAAAGAAAAGAGAAATATAAATAAATGGTAAGTCTCTTGACTGCCATAAGCCCCTGCATTTATTGACTCAGCTTCAATTACACCTTTGTGTGTGCCTGTCACTCCCATTTTCCCACCTCTTCTTGGTGTTTATAGAAGCCATCTGGATGAGGAGACACAAAGATATAATCGCATGTCCCTGGATCTTGGTTTTCTCGTAAGTGGAATAAAGCAAGGCAAGGGTTCCAGGCCTGGTGGTCAGCTCCTCCTTATGAACAAGCCATTCATATACTAAGGTAGAAAATAACGTGAGCACTTATGAGTCCAGCTACTCTTCAGTCATCATGCCATTTGACATGCTTATACACACACACACACACGCGCGCACGCGCGCACGCGCGCGCAGTTTCTGAGATCCAGTTTAGGGCCTAATTTATTCTGGGTTATTATTCTGCCACAGAGCTCCATCTCCAGTCCCCAGAGTGATTTTTTTTTTTTTTCTTGTAAGGAAACTAATAGGCCAAGCATAGTTGGTATGTGTTTCAGTTGCGGCACCTGGTGGGGCAAAGGTGGGAGAATTGTGAGTTTGAAACCAATGTGGGCTACACAGTGAGGGCCTGCCTAGAAAAAAATAAAATAAAATTTTAAAAATAAAACAAGGAACCCAACAGGATGGGGAACAGGGGAAAGGAGGCTTTGTCCTATTACGTCTCCCACACTCCAGATGGTGCAAGCTTCACCCTAACAGCATGTGTCTCTCTCTGGGTTTAGATATAGAAGGAAAATTGAGCATTATGATGGGTTTTGTGACAGGAAACACAGAGCAAGTTGGAATCTTTTTTTCTGAGGTGGCTTATTTCTTTCTTGGGGCTTTTGATGTTAACAGCCAGCCCATTAACCAAGAGTCATAGAAATGATGGCACTTTGACTCTTTCTTATTTTTTTTCCTCAAAAAAAAAAAAAAATGCTTTTAGAATGCTCCTGTGTGGTTATCCAGGATAGCAAGTTTTAGGCTGGAACTTATTTTTCTATGGACCAGGAAGGGGGCTGGCAGCTGTTGCTGCTGCTGTTTGACATCTGTGATGTTTTCTCAGGCTTTTCAGAAATAGCGTTGAGCTGCTCTAAGGTCTTTCCCCTAAGATGAAGTGGTGTTTGGGCTCAGAGGATTGAATTTAGAGTGAGCAGACTTTACAGCACAGGTCTGTTTTAGTCTGTTCAGGCAGGTATACGAAAATCCCATTAAAAGTAGATCCTAGACAGAAAAAAAGAAAGAAAGAAGCCTTGTTTTATGGTTCTGGCTCTGTCTGTTGAGGACCCATTTTGTAGTAATATTCTCACTGAACCTCAGATGACACGTGATATATCTTAGTTACTTTTAAATTGCTATGATAAGAACCATAACCAGGACATCTTGTAGAAGGGTTTACTTGGAGTGTGCAGTTCAAAGGGTGAATCCCTGTCCAGTGAGTATGGGAGCAGGCAGGCAGGCAGGCACTGGAACAGTAGCTGAGGACATGCATTTTGGTCCACAAGAGTGAGGCAGAGAGAGCTTCAGTGCCCCCAGTGACACATCTCCTCCAGCAAGGCCATACCTCCTAATCTTTCCCAAACAGTTCCAGCAACTAGAGACCAAATATTCCAATATATGGGCTTATGGGGACATTCTCATCCAAACCACAACAGTAGGGTGGGGCTCACTATGGTACCAGACCCCATTCCTAAGAGCACTACCAGCCTGACCTAACCAACTCCCAAGTCCCACTTCCTGACACCCTCACAAAGTGGATCAGATTCCTAAAGATGAATTTGGAAGGGACATAAACATTCGCACCATAGCAAAGCAGGGACTCAAGTTATTCTGTGAGAAGCAGTTCATGCTAGTAAAACCCTGTGTTCTTCTTTCTCTAGGTGTCAGTGGATGGGGTCTTAAAGACCATGAAAGAAAATGCCAACAAAGCCAAAAGCTTACTCCTTACTACCATACCGCAAATAGGGTCGATGGAATGGTCAGAAACCCTCCGAAATCTGAAGGTAAGTGGCCTGACACCGGTAAGCAGATACAAGAGTGGCTTTAGCCATATTTTCCCTTGCTTTCACTTTAAATTTGGTCCATCTTGTGTAGTTTATGCAAAATATTTTTCTTTTGTTTTCAGCAAACTCTCATGCCCTAATTTCTGTTCCCTCTATTTGCAACCAAAAGTGCTTGGCGCTGGGGTGGTGGGAGGTTTGTAATCTAGTGTCCCAATGACTTTACATTGTCCTGGAATTACCTTCTCTTCTTGGTTCAGAAGGCTAGTGTGCTCCCTGTCTATGGCCTCCAGTGGTCAGCTGTTCTCTCTTGGGTAGATTTGTAGTGAGTGTAGACAGACCTTTGCAGCCAATACTTCACTATATCAATAATAAAATGGTAACAGAAAATACCGCCTTCAGGTCAATGTTACATGAAACTAAGACAGCTAATAATGATAAACAAATGACAAGTTGCAGATTGGAACACTCTCAACTCCAGTCTTCAGCCTAAGGATATAACTTAAACTGCCTGGGAAGCTTAGAAAGCATTGGGGTTTTTTGTTGTTGTTGTTGTTGTTTGTTTGTTTGTTTTATGTGACTCTTGATTAACCAGAGAAGTAAGGAGCCTCCAGCCATTCCACTTCCTCTTCTTCTTTTTTTGTTGTTGTTATTGGTTTTTTTATTATTTAAATTCTTTAATTACTACTCATCTTTACATATCCATCCCCTCCCATTCCCTCACCCTCCCATGTTCCCCACCAACCTGCCCCCCCCAACCCATTCCACTTCCTCTTATATCTAGAGAGGAAGCACCTCCAGGTGGTATCTAGAGAGGAAGTACCTCCAGGTGCCTTAAAATATCTCTGTAGTCTTAGATACCTTGACAATCCCTGAGAAGACATGGGACCAGCTGATAGAATCTGTTCCTACTTGAATTACCACCTAGAAGCTCAGGAATGAGCCACAGTTTTAGTATGGCATAGGTATTGTACAGTGATAAATGATTAATAGTGTTTTCTATCTTGCATGGAATGCTTCAGGGCAGCAAACATGAAGCCACCCCGAGTTAGAGAGTGGTGCCTGTGAACTGATGCAATCAGGCTGCAGCATACCCCTGTAACCATAGGGTCTCAAGACTTGAGGACTGGAAAAGCCAAGAACATTGGCTGAGAGGAGACACCCCCACTGGTTCCAACACTGGATACCTGGGAGATAAATGTTTATTTAATGAGTACATAAGGTTTCCTCCCATGATGTGTTCTGTTATGGCTGAGGTGCAAAAAGACCTTGTGATTGCTCTAACTAGAGGGAGGGGGGAACAAGATTTAAAAAAAAAAAATCTATCAATTACGAACTGGTGGTTTGAACTAAACGGTTTCTAGCAAAGCAATGTCTGAGTGGTCTGAGTTCCTCTGAGGCCAGTTCTGAGTCAGTGTTGGACTCGCACAATATGATCCAGTTGCCATCTTCCAGCTGACCTGACACTCGCTATGATTTCACACTCAAGAGTCTGTTCCTTAAAAAGAAATCTGAGACATGCTCAGACAGTATAAATCAGTGATCTTTTTGAAGCTGATGTTGTGTGGTTTTGTAAATACGCACTTGAACATGGGTTAGTAAGTGTAGCATTCATCGGGTGTCAAATGAGCATTGAAGAAATGAAGAATTGCCTTTTAGACAAAATTGTGTGCTGTGGTCTCCATTCTTGAATAGTAAGAAACCCAGTCCTACCTAATCATTCTTACCCTGAATCATTTTTGAGATGTGTCTCATTCATTAACTTGCTAGTTCATTTGAAAAATACCAGTTTACCCATTTTGGGCCAAACTCCAGATTAGAACAAAACCGAGCTGTAGGGTATGGCAGTACATGCCTTTAAAGCCAGCACTTGGGAGGCAGAAGCAGGCAAACATCTGTGAGCTCAGGGCCAGCCTGGTCTACTTAATGAGTTTCAGGCCAGCCAGGAAGACATAGTGAAATCCTATCTCCAAAACAAACAAACGAAATTTAGAACAATACCCAAAGACTCCCAGTGATGATGAAGATCCCATCGTGTTATCAATTGAGACACATTAAAACTTCAGTGACATAAGGATTAGGAATTGCTTGAATGGTAAATGAAGCTGGGAGAGGGTAAATACACTGTGTCCTAATGCCTGTAAAAGTGAAGGGACATGTGTGTGTCTAAGAGCAGTCCCCTGAGATGACCTCACTTGGCAGGAAGAACCAAGAATTAAAAGTTGCTCCTAAAGTCCCATATCTGGTTAGTGTTGTTGCTATTTTGTTTTGTTAACTACATTTTTAAAATTTGTGTATGTAGGCAGACATACGCATGCCATGGTGAACGTGGAGAGGTTTGAGGACAGCTAGTAGTTCATTCTCTTTCCTCCATGTGTGTCCCAGTGATTGAACTCAAGCTATCAGGCTTGGTGGCAAGTATCTTTACCTCCTGAGCCATTTCGCCCATCCTAATCGGTGGTTTTTAAATGTTGGTGAACACAGGAATTATCTGGAGATTTAATAAGATTTAATAAGCAAACTAACAACTACAGGCCAGCTAGGGCCACACAGAGAGGCTGTCTTAAAAGAAAAAGAAAAAAGGAAGAAAGAGATAGTTTATTATGAAAAGGAAAGCACTCTTTAGGGTGGGGCAGGCCAGGGAGCTGATGAAAGGACCTGAAGAAGTCTCTGACATTCCCATCACTCTGCTGCTTGATTTAATAAGTATGTGTCCCTATGAGTCCTTACTGTATGCCACAAAATCTCAAGGTTTTTGTTGTTTTCACTTGTTAGGAAGTGTTGGAGTTAGTAGCATGCTCTCTGCTACCTTAGTCATCATCTCTACTTACTGTCTTCCTTTCAGAACATGGCCCAGTGTTCTGTTTTACCACCAAGACATTAACACAGCGTGGCTGCCACAAGAAGACTTACAACTTCTCGTCTTTGGGGGACTTTGCTTAAACAAAAAAAACGGGAAAGATTTATACGGCCTTCGTGCCTTTGCTTGGAAAGAAGAGCATGTGATAAGAGCGCAACAGTGCGCTCCACCAAGAAACCGACTCCTCCAGAACCCGGAAGGAAAGCAGTACCTGCAGAAATATGAGGGAACAAGCCCAAAACCTTGTCAATCATTTCTAATCAACTGACAACAAAGGTTGACATCCATTTCCCTACACTGCTAACGAAAGACTATGGGCGTGAAATGGGACTGTATGCATGTATGTTGGCACCATCTTTCTGGAGGGCAATTTGATACAATGCATCTGAGGCTGAAAAATACTGGATGTACTTTGGTACCCTAGGAATTTCTCTTTAAGAAGTTATGGGAGACTCATTCAAAGAATCACAAGTAATCTCAAAAACATTAGGTAGATGAGATGTACCAATCAAGTGGAATGAGGGGGGAAAAGGGTATAAGCTTTTATGACACTGGTTTTTTGGTTTTAAATGGTGTGCAAATGTACAAAAAAAGACTAGGAGGAAATATGCATAATCCTATTACTGTATTTGTGAAGAGCTGCTGGATAATTCTTATTTTCTTTTAATACTTTTTTTAAAAAGTAAGTGTGATCAAATAATAAAGTTGTAAAAATTAAAATGGACTTAAAGAAGTCGAGTTCTTTGAATGCTTGGTGATGAAACAAAGATGGCAATATAAAAAGAAGCACTGTGTGTTTGATTAAAGATATTTAAGCCAAATTGCACACACACCCCTGCATGCATGCACTCAACAAAACAACAACAAAAAAGTGCTATGTAAGAAACTTATGTTTGCTTAAGAAAGATCCTGGGTCACCATATGTTACAGCTACTTGGGACTGTGACTGAGGAGGCCATTGTTCAATGCCAAAGTGTGTCGAAATCAAACTGCTTCAAGGATGGTTAGTGTGACTCATTACTATATACCAGATATTTTTTTAAACTACCATTTGTGTCCACTCCTTTTTAAGAATTGACACATTATCAGTTGGCAATGTTTTATTTTGTAAAGGAAAGGAAGAAACCAGAAGCCTGGTGCTTTGTTATAGAGTGTTTTTTGTTGTCTGCCATGGGCATTCATAGTTTTTTCTTCAAGTTTCTGCTGTTAGAGGGGCCCTGGGGTCATTTTAAAGAGTGTGTAAGGTGAGTGTGCTTGTGTCTGAAACTGACTTCAAGAAAGTAAGCAACTGATTGTAAGCACTACATGAACCAGTTGCTCCAGCCTTCATGCTAAGCCCCTGGGGAACTGTGGTTGTAACTTCTGGCCCATAGAACAGAGCTTCCAGCTCTGGTTATTAGCAATACATGGAGCCCCCACGGGTCCTGACCAGGGAGGGCTCTTGGTTGTTTTTGCTTCACTGCAGTGTGGGCGGTTCTTTCCTTCACTCTTAGGAGTGAAGGAACTTCGCTGAGAGTGTCAAGTTGAAGAGTGGGCGTGAAATGCAGTTCTCTCCAACATGGAAAAGTGATTTTCCTCGGTGGCCTTTTCTAGCTAGCATCGTCATATACAGGCTTCTTTTCTTAATCCTTCATTGTGATAAAAATTGAATATAATCACTTATAAGATATACCTCCTTAGCTATTTTATGTGGCATTTAAAATATATTTGTACTGTATTTTTTTTCTTCGTGTGTATTCACCACAAAACAATGGGTAGTATTCTGTCATTTTCTCATACATATCATGTATATCATCATTTATTCCACATTAGTTTCTCTTGTACTCCCCTACCTCTTCCCAAATAATGCCCCTCCTGCTTTAAAGTCATCTAATCTATATTCTATATATGAGAGAGATGTGCCTTTCTAAGTCTGGACTACTTTACATGACATTCTCCAGCTCCATCCATTTTCCTGCAGGTGACATAATTCCACCCTCTTTTTCTGACTAAATAAAATAAAATGCCACTAGGTATATATACCAAATGCCTTTATTTTGGCTGTTCTGAATAGTGTTTCAATAAACATGTGTTTCAAGACTTCTCAAATGACCAAAGTATGCTCCTGGTCTTGGGTTGGGTCTTGGCTATTGCTGCTGTTATAGGAACTCCACTTTGAGAACTTCTATCTGAACCATTTCTGTCAGGTTGTCCATTAGACAGATTCCAGACCTCGGACCTAGTCCATTGTGCTTTTATTTCAACTGTTCCTTGTTCTTTATTAGGCCATTTGGGCTCACAATTGCATCTACAGTGAAGAAGTGGAGAGATGGATGCTTGTGGTCAGCTGCTCACTTTATCATTTTTATACAGTCCAGGATCCTAGCATAGGGATGGTGCCACCCACAGTGAGTGGGTCTTCCCACTTCAGTAAACCTAATCAATACAGTCTTTAACAGGCAATCCCAGAGTTCATCTCCTAGGTGACTCTAGATTTCCAATCAGTTGACAACTGACATTAAACATAACAGTTATACCTGTTCTCCATTCTTTTGCTCAATTCAGTTCGATTTTAACACCTTCACACCTCTGGTACCAGTCTTCCCTTTATCTAATCCACTCATTGATGCCCATCCTCTGCACTTGCCAAACACTTTGTTCTCTTGTCACACTGTTATAATTCCCTGTTCCATTGTCCACTGGTGTGGTTGAATTAACTTTTGTGACTGCAGATTCTTGAGTGACTAACGCAGAAGATGGTACTATTTGTACTTCTTAAAAAATTGTGTGAGGGGGCTGGAGAGATGACTCAGAGGTTAAGAGCACTGGCTGCTCTTCCAGAGGTCCTGAATTCAATTCCCAGCAATCAGATGGTGGCTCACAACTATCTATAATGAGATCTGGTGCCCTCTTTATCATACAGGCAGAACACTGTGTACATAATAAATAAATCTTTAAAAAAAAAGTGTGAGTCTATGAAATTTCAGCCTATTGGTATTTCAGCCATCTTTTTGTTTCCAGCTGGAATCACTGGTTCCATAGAACCTCATTAGTTATGCTCTGAATAAGTAGTTCACCCTGTGTATTTTCAGAGCACCTGGAGTCTGTGTTATCCAAGGACCATTTGTCATAATGTTCAACATAAATCTATGTACATATTCTGTCTCCTAAATAGATAATGAAAAACAGGAATTCTGAGAAAGAAAGTGGCTTAAGTGTTAGGTAATAAAAACCCAATGAGTTATTTAAATTTATTTCCTGACTTGAATTTAGTGCCTACTAATATTTTCCTGCAATAAATGAATGAAACATTTTCTTTTTAAACTAGGAATGTTTAAAACTTCTTAATCCTTTGATTATATGTTTTAATCATTATTTTAAAAAAGAAAAACTCTACTTCTTGAAGGCCTTACTTGTCTTATGTCCCCATAGTTGGCCACCAGAATGTCATTTGTCTATATATACATGCACATGCATATAGACTTCACTTAGTGTGGCGAGTGTGTACATGCCACAGCAAGTGTGTAGAGGTCAGAGAACAGCCACGAGTCAGTTCCATCATGTGGATTCTGGGGATCAGACACAGGTGGTCAGACATGGAAGTGAGTGTCTCACTGGCCCTTCATGTGTATATTAAATTTCATTTAATTGGTTGTCTATCCTTTTGATACAGGGAAAGTCTCTTATCTTCAAACTATCGCCAAATGTTATTCACAGGCCTTACTCCTGTCATTTTTTACTTATGAGCCAGATCTTGGGTAATTATTTAAGAAAAACTCTTTGTGGAATGTTTTGTTTGGTTTCCTTTGGTCATTAAGCTAAAGAAGAAAAAGGCAAACAAATATACAAGTGCTAGCAAAAGCTGTCCTGTGTGGTATACAGTGAGCATTAACCCCCTTTTTTTCTACTGCTCTTACACATTTGAAGGCAATGAATGAGTAGGAACCATTGTTATAGCTCGGAGCTTCTTGACGGATCACGTGTCTGATGGCCAGAGTCCCAACAATAACCTTGGAGGCAGTCCAGGATGTTCCAGCTCTCGGTAACAATTCAATCCATGGCAAAAGATTATGGTGAATAAATACTTAAGTGGAGAGGCATAGAGTCCCATAGGCCTCTCACCAATCCATGGTTGACTGTAGATGGGCCATCTTGTGTAGATCCATTGCAGGCAGCCACAGATGCCGTGCCATGATTGCCTTTGCTGTGCCATGCCCAGAAGACAGCATTTCATAGATTTTCTATGTCTTCCAGCCCTACATTTTTCCACTTCCTCTTCCACAATGATCCTTGAGCCTTATTGATAGTGATGTGTGATATGTGTTCTCTTTGGGACTCAACATTCAACTGTCACTTATTCTCAGCACCTTGAACCTGGCTCAACTGAATAGTTTAAAGCTCATTATCATACAGATGATTCTGGTTAAACTCAATGGCTCTCAAAGCAAAAAGGAGACCATAGTGTTTGAAAGGGAATTATAGGGATGGAATTATAAAGGTCGTGACAGGCAGATTGGAGAGGTTGGGAGGTCCAGTAATCAGAATATACTTTATGTATATGAAATTGCCAACAAATTTAATAAAGGCTATAATGGTACCCTGGTATAGCAAAAACCAAAAATTCACCTTTTCCAATATGTTCCAATCTGCTCATTAACCAAGTTGATTATGTTGGTAGCTTAGTGTTGCTAGAGCCCTGTTACTTTTTTTTTTCAATTTGTGGCTTGTCACCTTAGAGCTAAAAAGTAAAAAGGATATACTTATGTTCATAAAGTACCCAGAATAGGGCAAACTGGGGCTTCCAGTTATTAGATTTTGAGTTGCCCAACATATGCCTTAATCTTAAGAACAACTTACATTTTGAAAATAGGTCATCCCAAAGTTCACATGTAGAAAGCTAATTCATTGTTCAGTAGAGTCAAGGAGTGGAGTTATTAGGTCATGCTCCAAAGGGCCCTTCAACCACGTTAGAACACAGCTGGAAGGCTCCATCTTCTGAAGCAGCAGGAGCCTTGATATTGGACTTAACTCTCCAGAACTATGGGCAATACATTTTTGTTTTCCCATAACAGCCCAAATGGGAAACAAAAATGTTGCACATCGGTCAGTTTAGACTGGAAAAAAACAGAACCATATTCCACTGAATTCAACAGGGAACTAAAAAAGAGGCTTAATTAGTTTCTAAAGTATTTTAATGCAGAGCTATTTTTTTTCTTTCACAGATAACAATGTATCAGTGTTTTCTACCTGTGCCCTTGATTTTATGAATGATTCAGTCTCTAAGTCTTCACCAGAATGTGATGTATTTACTAGTTGCTTTCTTTGTAACCTCACTTTAGTTTACACACTCATTGCCTGTAAAAGTCAGGATTCCAGAGCCGAAGCAATAATAGCAACAGCAACTTCAGACATTTATAAATATTTATAAACTACTGTATCAAATCTCAACTGTGCTGGTCACCTTGACACAAACCTAGACATCTAAGGAGAAGAACTTCCAATTGAGAATATGCCTCCGTAGCCCTGGCTGGTAAGCAAGTATGTAGGACATCTTCTTGATTGATGATTGACATGAGAGGGCCCAGCCCACTGTGCATAGTCCCATCCCTCAGTGAGTTGTCTAAGCTGGAGAAGTGAGCCAGTAAGCAGCACTTTCCATGGCCTCTGCTTCCCTCGGTGATGGAGTGTGACCCACGAGCTGTAGCATAAAGTAAACCCTTTCCTCCCCAAGTTGCTTTTGGTCAT